TTTATTTTTGACCATCTCACAAGCTGATAAAAGCAGTGCAATATCCTCAGTGTATTGGCAAAGTCAGGAGCATTTCTAACTCCTTTCCCCATGTGAGATGTTGAGTGATTCACACACACACACACTCTCACACACACACACGATATCAAAAACCCAGGAAACTGCTACATTAGCAGATCCACATGCTCCAGGTCTGGCTCTGAGTTCTCATGTTGGTATCTCTAAAATATTTGTGTGTCTTTTAGTGTATTTCTTGATTTCAAATATGCTGTCTGTTGAGCACAGGTTAATGCTGTTTTGGTGTTTTGATGCCTATGTGTGGATTAGGAAGCCGGTCTGGGCACTCGAGGCTGAAAATGCTCACCCTTGGTAGCTGTAGGTTTTGTCTTTGTAGCAATTTGTATCTTGGCACCTGCCACAGTTTCTGATGTAATTTAATCAAGCTGTTCTACTAGGAAAAAATATAAATGTGTTGATTTGAAGGAAGTCTTTGAAACATAATAGATAAAGAGACCCAGAAGAGATTTTTAGGTACACTAATTTGCTTTTAAATCTGTGGATGTCTCTAGCTAAAGGTTTTAATAACACTGATTGAGACTATTACATTTGGTCTATTTTTGTATTTATTATTATTAAACAGAACATATTTGTTTTGGAGAAAAGTCACCAGCCGAAATAGAAATCTGTAGTTTCATTTACTGAGAACCAGCTATGATGGGGAACAAAGAAACTAGGAAGTTAGCTCCTTCATATATTATGTAGTCATAGTTTATGATGAAACTATACCACAAAAACTTAAGGAACTTAAGGAAAATTTAGATTTTGGGAACCTGTAAGTGAATTAATTGCAATACCATAAAGGTTTGTTTTGGGGTTTTCTTTTTTTTAAATCTCATTTTTGTTCAAAATCATACAGTTTAACAAATGGAAATATTTCTGAAACTTTATAAATGGTGCCTTATCTGAAAAAAAAAAAAAAAATCAACTGATTCTTGTTTGCATTAAATATGTGATGTGAAATTTACTGTGCTGGAATCGGAAGAAAGAGGGACACCCGCAGAGAAATCACCTTTGTAATGGTAAATAGTAGAAATAATTTCTCTGTGTTTTATTTTGAATTACCATAACTCTACATGCAGAAGTAATTGTGTTCTGTAATGACTCCATCTGGCTGGCGGGAGGGAAGGGTGCGAGGAGAGGGCTGGAGGGGAAGCACTTCTCAACAGTTGGCTGCTTGCAGGACCTGAGAGATTGGGATGGGCAGGGACACTCTGGATAGCAGGGGGCCAGTTCAGGACCTGGAGCTGGGCAAGGCCGCCTGATGTAGGAGGTGAGGGCAGGGTGGTGACACAGCCTGGCTTTTTTTGGCCATGGAGTTTGGATTGCGAGACAGCACAGATGGACTCACCATGGTGCAGGGAAAATACGGAGGGACTCCCTGTGGTATAGGGACAGCATGGATGGCCTCCCCATGGGGCTCTCTCAACCTGCTCCTCACCTAACTCTGTGTCCATCTACACAGTCACCACACACAGACACAGAGCCTCCAGCTGTTCCCAACACCTCCTTCACTCATGAGGACAGCAACAAAAATATTCTGGGGCTTGGAGTCTTTATCTTGTTCTCTTGTCTCAAAAGATACATATCAGTTTACAGACATAATTTAATAATATTTCCAATTTTTATGAAATTGCTTTTTTTTGTTTAATACAATATTCTCAAAGAAAATGAAGTTACAATATAAAACCACAGGAAAAAAAAAAAAAAGGTGGAATTACAACTTTTTCCATTAGAAAAGGCAGTGCCTGGGGAAGAATGGGAAGCAATTATTTTTTACTTTTTAAAACAGATATAAACTTAAAACCACTCACATATTTACTCTTTAAAAGGTCAACTAAGCCATATCAGGGTATTGCACCATAGCAAAAAAAAGAGAAAAAAGAAGATAACATTAAACTTTTCTGAGGGCACAGTTTGTTTCAATGTACACAGATGCAACATCCTATTCTCATGCCATCCTTTCATATGTTCATAAATAAAATTACTGAACCACTTGTTCCTAAACAAATTGAAGATGATTTTGTGCAAAAGAGAAAAACACTGGAAAAAAAGCAAAACTAAAAAAGCCATTTAGTGAACAGAGGATGCCATTTGCTCTGCCTTTAGACTATGCCCTGATACACTGTGTCTTAATATACTTACTTATACTACTGTACTATTTATTATACAACATCAACATATTCTGTTATAGTATAAATAAGAAAACTCCAGAGCCAGGAAACAAACCCACTGTGAGTGACAGTGCATCATCATGTCATACCAACCATTTTAGCTACATATACACATACAGATGTATATAAAATATTATTGATACACAAAGCTGAAGAGAGAGCATGTGCATGTGGACAGGAGGAGCGACACAGAGAGTTGGACATGTGTGTGTGTGCACAGAGATGTGGTGAAGGTAGCAAACCTACCCAGGAATCAGAAATCACCTTTCAAAGCTGTGTTTGAGGCACACTTGGGCTCTGCTGGAGCTGTGCTTGTTTACATGGTTCATGCACGTGGCTTTATTTGTGTTGGTTTTTGGTAAAAGCAAAGAAACAAAACCACCTGAGTGAGCTGCTGTCCCCCTCCCCTGTATAGCTAGGGGAGTCTTAAAATGAAGGGTGGAAGAAATATGACATCGCATATATAGTAACCTAAACCTAAGAAGAACAGGAAAGAGGTCTAAGAGCAATAAAAGCAATGTCTGATCTCGCACAGAACATTGCAGCAGGGCTCAGAAATTACTTTGTCCCCTCTCGTTTGGCATCAATCAAAATTCGAGAAGGGTAACAACAACTGAATGTATCCCTGCCAGCTATGAAAAATGAACCCATTCCAACTGTACTTAAAGAAAAGTAAAAATTAAAGGAAACTCATCCATGTAAGTTAACCCCTGGGAAATCCTCTTCAGATCATTCCTATACAAAATACTTGGTAATACCTTTTTGCCAGGTGAATTGAAGAAGAATGTGTAGCAGGCATTGATGACAAGGCCATGGCTGGGGCGTGAAAGTGGCCAGGGATTCCTTGTGCCCAGCCCTCACACAGCCTCTTGGCCTGGAGGGTGACAAGCAATGATGTCTCAGCTGAGTTATAATGTGGGAGTAAAGGGCATCAATAAAGTCCCATAAGGCAACTGAGTTCTAATAAGGAGAATAGAAATGAACTCTGGGTCTCTAGTTCACGCTGCTAATTTTTGGGGGATAACATGTCCTAGTAATGTGTTTTCCCTGCTGTGGATGCATGCACCGGTCTGTGGGCGTTCTTATGCAGCATTCACCTCTGGTGACAAAGCCATCACACTGTCAGGCTCTCCTGCATTTTCAGTGTAAAAATACCACCGTGCCCACGTGTCCAGTGAAGCAAGTGCCTCACAGCTGGCATGAACAGCCAAAGCTTGAGGTTGTGTAAGCACACATTTGTGATTCATTTTTTTCATCAGTGTCCTTCCTCAGCTTCAGTGTTGTTGCTCCTGACCTACACCTGCCAAAGTGAAAGCAGAAGAAGGAACTCAGCATGCCTGAAATGTTTATCAAATATAGCTGCAAATGTAGTATCAGGCTACACTGGCCCAGGTACAAGCAGTTCGTGGTCCCATCAAATCTGTTTTATAGCAAATATGTGTGCTTCCTGCAGTTGTGAATGGAAAATCTGTAAATATATGATGAGACTGCTAGTCTTGTTGGGTATTTGACTGTGTTTACTGCAAAATATCTATTCCTTATGCAGACTGGAAGTATTTATACATGAAGTTAATAAGATGGGTTGTTTTTATGAATGTTTCCCAGGAAATATTGCAGCACCAATGACAGATTTTAATGCAGCTGCAAAAAATTTATTTTTGCCCAGTCTTAAAGCATGAGGGTGTTCAGGGAAATGAAATATTTTGAAGAGGAAGCTAGGTAGAAGCTTTTAAAAAAAGGTTTTTTATAAGATGTGTATGGAGTTAAAATCTATTTGTTATAGAAGTTTTGATTCTAACTGAAGCTACAGTACCTGCAGCAAAACCCACCATGGACAAAGATTTTGGTGGACTTTTCTGCACTCTGCAATGTGCTGCAGCCTCTGGTCTCTATTCTGTAAAATCTAACATTTTTTGTATTTTAAGATTAGTTTCACTGGAGTAAAAGCAACTCAAAGCACTTACTGAAATGACTGGTTGGACAGGAAGTAAAGGGCCACCACACCTTTGTGGACCTTGGTCCCTCATTAAATGGCAAATGCCAGGAAAAAAAGACATCGGCAAATTTTAACTGGCTGGTTTAATTAATCTCAGTGCTTTAAAAATAAATCAAGTGCAACACTTATGAATAGAGCCACAAAATTTACATGAGGACATCTTCTGTGCCAGCAAAATGGGATTTTTTTTATATCTAAGAGAGGGACATTTGGGTATTTTCCAGAGAGTTTAAAAAGATGAAAAATGTGTTTAAGGAGACTCTCCACACATATACCTATCTACTTTCTCAACTGTACATCATACTGTTCTAAATAACTAAAATTTTAAAGAAAAAGAAAAATTAAATACATTGTAACTTATATATGCAGAGTAAGGAGGGGTTGCCTAACAAAAAGTAGGGGGTTATTGGATAGGAAGAGAAAATATTTATTCAAAGAAGAGCCAACAATACCCTTTTTCTATACATTAAATGCAATTCATAATTCACAGAGTATATTACAAGGGTGTTTCTTCTATCTTTTGCATTCCTGCTTGCCTGCCTAGTGACACAAACAAGGCATATTGTGCTGTCAATACCAGTAGCACCCTTGCCAGTGGAAATGTTCTTCGTCTTACCACCAAAGCAGCTCAGAACCTTCTGGCAGGGGGGGGTCCTGTTCCACCCCAGCTGTCCATGAAGTAATCTGAAATGGGTCTCTCCATCTTTAGTTGAGTTCAATCTTCTCAAAATAGTCAAATAATACTGGAAATAAAAAAAAAATCATGCATCTGGTAGAAGAGATGTATGCTCAGGGTGCTAAGAGAGAAAGCCACTGCTGCCTTTTTTGTCCTTGTTGTGTGGAGCACCTTGTGTGTGGTTAAGAGTTCTGGCAAGGGGGGCTTGCAGGAAGCATCAGTTCAAGGAAGGACCTTCAGATATGTGACTACAAAAAGTCCTACTTACATTACTAAGGGTTTTTGGTGATCAGACATTTTCAGTAAAAACTCATTTTAGAAAATTGAGTTGCAATGCATGCTACCAAAATGAAATCCCTGTTCTTGTGGGAGAACATTGCTGAACTTATGATTCTCTTGTGACTTTTACTGTCCAGCTGACTTTCGTTTTGTTGCTGTCATGGCTCGTGCAGCTCCAGTAACACAGCTGTTGAGGCTTGATCTGTGCCAGTGTTTTAACCCATGTGGAAACGGTGCTCTCCTCGAGTTATGTGGGAAGAGAATTCGTACCTGTCCTGGCTGTGGTAGCCACACATGTTGCATTCAAAAGGATCGCGGAACCCGTGGCAGCCCATATGGATCGTATACATCACATGATCCAAGAAAAGGACTCGACAGTGTTCACACTTGTAAACCCTTACTTGCTCCCCATTGCTGCTGATCACTTTGAAAGCATCCTGGGAATTGTCAGTACCCACTCTCAAGACATCATATTGCCTGTTTTCTTCTTTTATAGAGATGCCATTTCTCGCATGGCCACCTATGTGGTTTGGCAGGTAGATCAAACCACTGCGCTCCTCATTATTGCTCTCTGTATCTGTTGAGTCTTGGCAGCTGTTACTGGGAGAGACATCTCGTTCCGAGGAGACAGATTTGGCTTTGGAAAGCAGCAACAAGTTTTCCACTGCACTGTCCTGAGGGAGGTTGGAGCGAATCTGACTGTCCCCAAGAGGTTTGTGGAGCTGATACATGGGGCTGATGACAGGCACTACCTCAGAGCCACCCGGCGGTGTCTGGACGAGGGGACGCAAGGACTCTGCCCCCAGGTAACTGATGGCATTGTTGATGGCCTGGTCGATCACGTGTGTCTGCATGAGTTCGTTCTCCTTCTCATAGTTGATGCTGGCATCATATGGAAGATCAGGCAAGCATTTGTCACCTGCAGTGAAAAGCAGTGAGGAGTTAGGTGGCTTATTTCTACGTGATTAAGGAAAGGAACATCATGGATTAATAAAACAGGGAAGAGGAGAGTTGACCGAATCCATCTCTGAAATCCACCTAAGGTATTCACTGTTCCCTAATACAGCTGCTAAGAAAAGTGGCGGGTTGGTGGTCTTTTCTTGCATGCATAATAGAGTGTTTTGGAAAAGCAAATGGATGAAAGAAACTCTGGAAATAATTATACAGAGCTACAGATCATTATCATGGGAGCTACAGATCTAGTGCTTTGTCATGTCTTTCTCCTTTCTCACTGGTGTCCCTCACCTGCCTCCTACAGTGAGCAGAGGCACCCACTGTCTTTGTGGCTGCTGAAGCCGGTGTGCCTGCATAGCCACAGAATGCTTGGCCTGATGTTTCAGAGCATGACGCACATTATCAATATTTTTACCTGAAGTATTACATTCTTAGACTGGAAATTGTATGGTTTAGTTTCAGACCTTCCATTTCTTAGAAATAACCCATATCAGCAATGTGGTCATATATATGTCATTTTGGAGAAAAATCAATAAAAACTTTATTTTTCATATTGCCACCATGCCCACACATCTACCACAAGCAATGTTAGACACATCACCAGAAACTACCCATGTTCCTAAATATTTTGTGTCAAAAAGTTGTTGTATACACAAGAAACCAAGAATCATGGAAAGAAATTTAAGTGCATTTATAGTTGGAGCATATTTTCCCTACAAGGTAGAAAGCCTTATCTAGAGCAAGATTACTTGTTACTGGTAACTTTGATTCTGATGGGATGCCTTAAGTAAGGGGTAAATCTATATTTCTTTTTTTTTTAAATCATATTTAGCTGGATACCCCAGTATTGAATGTTGAGGTTCACTACAATTACCCCCAGATTACTGGACAGCTAGCAAAACATAGAAGGAAAAAGTTAGGGGTGGAAAAAACTATTTAAATGCACAGATACTGATTTTATGGACTTGAGCACTTTAACAGTGTAAACCTTCAAAGTTATTACCATGCCCTTAATAAATTCATGCAAATGTAAAGAGGTAAAAGATTTTCACAAGCTCCTATGGTCTACCAATAACGTATTGTTGATAGTCTGGATGGATTTTCTAGCTCTTCAGATCTTGGGAAACACTGAAAGCCACAAACATCTCTGTAAAGTGCTGTCACTATTTCCTGATCAACATGAAATTTACTGGTAAGTCTTGGAAAGTCCTAATTTGTCAAAAGAAATGCTAACAGAAGCATGGAAATTTCACCAGATAATCGGAACATTAATTTATCAACATTTTCTACTCAGATTGACCATTCAAAGTTAGTGAAGAGACCAAAAACCTTCTAGCATGACACTTTTGCAATGATGGGGGCTAAAGTGTAGGAAGTTCTGTGGTCTACATTTCCCACAAGATATGGTTTCATACCAGTTCCAGGCTCTGCAAGCAGAAAAAGCAATACCCTAAGCATTGCATAAGTTCCTATAGGGGACATAGGGTACAGACACCTTCTAGCTGCTATACTACACCAGCTTCCAGTTCCTCTTGTTTTCTTTCCCAATCATTCTGCCAATTTGGGCTGCATTTTTTTTAAATTCCAGATTTATCCTCTATAATGCTATACTTTTCAGGCAGAGTTGCCTAAGATTCAAAATAGGCATTACAAAAGACTCTTGAATTAAATACAGAAAAACTCTCCTAACATGAACATCTACACTTTATTCAAGAAGGAAAAAATGAAGCCAAAATCATTCATATTCCATGGGCACTGCACACCACTGAAAAATGAGATTGGTCTTCATTATAAACAAAATTTTGGGCATCCAGAAAGCAAGATTTTAATATGTAATTCTTGGGTAGTATTTGCTTTATGTAGCATAACCAGTTGGTAGTTGTGCTGAGAGAATCAAATGTTCATAAGAAAAATTTGTTTCCAAGCAAAGTGCCTGAAACACACACAAAGTTAGGGTAGGTAGGCACAATTTCTATATCTAGGCAATGCAGTAATACTTGCACTCATTAAAAATAATAGCTCATTTCTGTGGTTATTAGAGCATAAGTAAATTAAACTGCTAATGGCTTGATGCACTTCAAGGTTTGCACTTCTCAGGATTCTGCAGCAGGTACTTAAACAGTAAAAATGCACTCACTGCATGTGGGCACCTTTTCTCTTAGTATTTTTTAATCCCTCTCTTGGCTGCCTGTTCTTTTAAACATTATCACCACATATGAACTTTTCATTGAGTTCTTGCTCTCTGGTTTGGATGGCCCACTTCTTCTGGGTTTGGGAACTATTCCAGTTTGGAATACAGAGAAAATTTTACAGGCAACTGGCTGAATTTGTTGAACAATCTAATTTTTAAAAGGTAATTAATTTAGTCTTGAGAAAAAACTCATGAAGCAGAAGACACTCCTTCGCTTATGTGAAGGATACCATTTTCTCCTTCTCTCTGGAATTCAGCACAGGTATTGGGACATGATAATCTACAGGAGCAATAAACATGTTTTAGTACCCAAAATCTCTCCTCAGCAGCCAGCTCAACCTTGTGTTAATTGGGAATTTTTCTATTGTATGAAGCAGCAGATGAGGATTGAAAGGAAAGGATTTGGAAACATTTTCTTGTTAGAAAACTTTTTCCTTTTGAAGCCTAGCAAATTTCCATAAATATCTGTTGTCAGAAGGTTGTCTTCCTACACTGCACCCTGAAAAACTGACAGGAAACTCTGCCCTCCTAAAACTAATAGTTAAACTGGCTGTCTTTACTGTTTATCAGCGTGAACAGAGAAAAAGAGAATGAAATAGCCACTCTAAACCCAAGGATACACTACATTTACCATATTTGCTAGTACCTTTTAAATTTAAGCACTTTTAATCTTCCTGGAGCTTTCATAGAATTAGTATCTTGCCTAATGCGAACAGTTACTAGAGTGTTTAAACTAGTCTGGTAGGCCTCACATATATATTATAGTTGATATAGTTTTGGTATCTATCTCTGCTACAACTTTTGCCCTTTTGTAAGCATTTCTTATAGTTTACTACCTCCTAGAATTGTTGTATTTGGACTTGAAAAAAGCCTTGGAATTTAATTTAAAACCTTTTGTTGCACCTCCTGACATAGCTGAAACTCCCCTTTCCTTATCTAGGAAATACTAATTTTCCTTTCACCCCTCCCTGTGTCCTTGTTGAATAAAGTGTATTTGCATTTTCTGTCCCATAAACTGTTCTTTTTGTTTTTCCCTTGACTTTTGACTGAAGACCTTCTTAATGTGCATTTTGCTTCAGAGACTTTAATCTGATTGTTTCCTATATAATAATTTTTTTAAATGTACAGAGAATTAAAAAAGAACCTAACTAGATATGAGTATATGCTCTCATCTGATCTCCCATGTTTTAATTTATTGAATTATTTACCTTCCATAGCTGACAAAATATTGTATGTGGATCTCACAAAACTGCTGTAATCCCTACTTAGTACAGGCCTACTAAACAGAACAATATGTGTAGCCATCATTTTTATAGGCTTAATGTCAAATTTTTTCTTGTTAAGACAAGAACTGCTATGTGCAAATGGGCATGAAGTTTTTGCATCCTTCATAGAATGTGCACAGTTTACATTTCATTTAGATACTGTTTTCAGACATATCAATTTGGGATGTAAAAATAAACAGAGTTTATTAAAGGGTGAAGAATATTACCCAGTCTACATTCAACTATTCACAAATGCTTTCAGAAACATCAGCATGCCCAGATCTGAATGTCATTCAAGATTTCAATAAAATAACTCTGAAACTGTGGCCAAATGATATCCCAATGGGAAACTTCTATTCCTATCTTCAGGTTCTTAAGGCAACTTCAAGAACCTGTTCTGATTTTGTAATGATCTGGTCCGTAAGCTTTTAAAAAGGCAGGAAAAAGGCTTAAAATTGATCTTCAAATGTGAACACTTAAACATGCAAAAATTTATGCTGGAGATGGTCAGTTGTTTTTTCTCTCCTAATACATCTTTGTATCTGCTTATATATAGAGATACATATTGTTAATTTAGAAAAACAAGTAAAATTATAAAGCAAAAGTAAAAATGCTGAGATTTTTTAGCGGGCTTTGTTTTATTTTATTTTTAGGAGACAGCAAACGTTTAACTCTTACCCACAAATTTCTGAGGCATAGAGCTCTTACGTTTGGCGACGTTACTTGCTAGTCTATCCAGCACGAGGGCTCTTTCTGACCCTATCTTGCACAGGTCTTCAGCCATTTCATTCTGGTTACTTTCGTCTTTTATGACTGAAATCAAATGACATCAGAAGGGTTAGGCAGGTTCCATTTTAATGGAACTGTTGTCTTAGGTTTCTCAGTCAATGTCTTTTAGCTCCCAACAGCTGGATGAAGGAGCTCAGCATATGAGACACAGGACAATTCTGACTCTCAGTAACAAATTCCCTCACGCTGATTAATCTATGTACATGCTCATGTTTTCCTCATTTAGGACACAAAAATGAGATAGCAACTGCAGGGTTTCTGCCTGTATGTCACATAATCACTTTACCCTTTGTTCTAAAGCTACTCTTAATTTCTGTGAATAAATGAGGTCCTAACTTTATCCTGGACACAAAGCAGTTAATCTTTCCACTCTCCCACTGAAACCCCCTGCAATGTCCTTCTGCATCTCTCCCAGTGTCTGATAATTGCTTCCTCAATAGGAAAAATGGATAAACTTCTCAACTCTAGCAGTGGAAGATGTATTTGCAAGCTACACCAAGCCTTTTCTCCAGCCCCTTTTATACCGTAGCAAATATTTCAATACTTCCTTGATGCTATCTTAGACTTTAACAATTTTAATTGATAAAATTACACTTTCAGTGGAACACTGATTTCTAATACTCAAACCTGTTTCCCAACCTCCTGCTGCTGCTGAGACTCTGTAGAATTAGGAGCTTAACTGTGAGGCTTTAGCAAAAGGAGACTATTTCATTTTCAATGTATTTTACTTCAGTACTTTCCTGCAGAAACAAAAGGTATGTATGAAAAAAGCACTGTCAAAACAATGATTGTGAAAAAGGTATGGAAAGGTATTTCTGACTTCCAGCATCTAAGAGAATGGTAAATGCACTGAAATCACAACACAGCTGTTTTGTGGTAGGTTTTTTGTTTGTGAGGTTTGGGGTCTTTTTTGTTTGTTTGTCAAGGGAGAAAAAGGAGTTAATTTTACTTTTATCTGCTACTAAGATATAGGTATTTTTCCTGAACTTTTGAGTTGCTCTTAAAGGAAGACACAAAAGATAACTTTTGTATTTTGATTCTTTGAGTTGTTTCAATTAAGTGCTCCACTCTGCTACACTTTTACATCTGTGCCTGCTGAGAATTTGTTTTATCACTGGATTTACTGGTTCACAGGACCCATTACTCTGATACCTGGGTGTTTCTCAATGGCTGAGAACACATCAATGTTATTCTGAGGATATACCACAGCCATAAAACGATGATTGTGAAAATTTTGCTGTTCCTGAAATATATGAAATCAGCTCTGATGGGTGAGGAACGGGTGACGTTTCCTATTCAACAGTGCCCTGCAACCAAACTGAGGAGTACACAACTGGTTCTTGAGTCCCTGCTGCAGCAGCACATACTGCAGTGACAGTGATAGTGACAATGAAAATGCCAGTGTCAATGACAGAAACTTGATGTTTCACAGAATTATGTTCCAGCCCCATGAGACACTATAGATTGTGAACAACGAAGGAAATTAGAAGAGTTTAATCATGAAGGTGCAGAAGAGTAAAGGGTGTTTACGGTACATAGCCATCATTGAACAAGCACACATCAGCATCTTGTGCTGACCAAGGCTTCCAGGTACTACCTCAGGAAGAGACTTACAGAGAATGTTTTAAGGCAGACATTCAACAGGGACACAAAAGACTGAATATTTAGTTAAAAGTTGAAATGATCAAGAAATATCTGTTTAGGATATAATAACATTTCTTTTCTAATCAATTCAAGAGAGGATGAGTCACGTATTTAACAGTCAAACTTTCGAACTTCTAAAACTGTTATTAAAAAAGAGGGCAAATTGAATCATATACTAATCCCCAGAACTTGCAACTGAAACCCTCTGAAATCTGCTACCAAATGAATAACTATTTCTCTATAATTAGGTGTCTATAAAGTGAAAAAAAAAAAATCTTTTCAAACAAAAATTCCCAGTGACTGAAGAACTGTAATTGACACTTTAAAAACTAAATAAACTACTTCTCCTTTTATTTAAGCCTGGTAAGACTTCAGCACACTTTCACTCAACTCAAATGCAGAACTACAGGTAATATCTTCAAGAAAAGAACTTCACATGGACAGTGAGATTATAGTCCTCTAAAATAAGAATTTTGCCATTAAATTCATCATTTTCCAATTTTGTGTTATATTTCCTTCTCTTAAAGAGAGAAAAAAAAAGTTAAAAATGTAAGTACAAGCTCTTGTTCCATTTATTACTCCCTTTTACTCTATCTTTCCCTTATTTGAGTTCTTTCTCAATTACATTTTTTTAGATTACCAAGCTGATGGAAAACTTCTACAAGTTTAGGTTATTTCTACTGAATTTTTTTCTACACATACTGCCAAAAGTATTTTAAAAATGCTTTAAAAAGCAATCTTGCTATGTCAGAATGTCAAATCAGATGACTAGCAAATATTTTTATATGATTTTTTTTTTTTTTGAGGTGGGGGAAAAAGGATTCTGAATAATGGCTCTAACAGATCCACATAACACCTTGAAATAATTTAAGAACAGTAATATTATAGCTGCTTGCTTTTCTAGATATATCATAAAATATAGTAAAATTCACAGGGCATCCACTCATTATCAACTTCTTTTTTCTACATTTTCATCATGCAAAATACTAGGAAAAATGCAGAAAAATTTCATTTTTTAGAACTGTATTGAATTGACTTGTTAACTGAGGACTAAATTTCTTTAAGAGTGAACACTTTGGCTAAATATGAGATTTAAAACCTTTAGTTAATTTAATTTTTTTCTAATTAGCAAAAGCAGTCCTATTTTGTAAAATACGGAATATACAAGAATACAAGAAGTATATGCAAGAAGAAATATATATTTTCATGTATATACAAGAAGAAGTAATTCTTTCAAAGCATTAATTAATTCCTCAAGTTTTCATCCCACTGAATTATTAGATATTTAGTTGCAAGCTAGTGCAAGCTCTCCTATCAGGATTTGATATAAACAAAGGTCAGTCTCTAAAACTGTTTCGTTTCTTATTAGATTTTATGATTCCTGACATCAGTTTCATTTTACTAAGACTTTCGTAGTAGTTCATCTACTCATTCACACAGATTTTCAAATTCAGTGTGCAGGCACTTAAATCCACGTGCCAGACACTGAAGACTGAAATCCCAAACTAGAATATTTGCTTCTAAATCCTGTCATCTCTTTGAGAAATAAGTATTGCTGCTTACTGCGTATTATTACATTGAGGTTTTCTATTCATATATTCTGCAGCCCCTCAATAAAATTAGAAGGGGCACTGCTCTAACATGCAGCCTGCAGAAGAATTTCAGTTGTATTCACTGCCATCATTATGTGCATATACTTTACATCATTGGATAGCATGTAAAAACATATTCAAGTTCTGTACAGATATAAAATATTAAATGAAGCATCATTGCAAAGAGGCCAGAGAGAACTTTCCTTTTTTTTTTTTGTCATTTGACAAGCTAAATAACATATACTGACAGGATTAAAAAGGTATGCAGGAAATGGAAGTTACTGGCTGGGTTTAAACTCCACCAAGAGGAATTTGTATGGCTAATTACTGTGATCAATCCCTTACAGATCTGGATCTTTGTTAAAAAATAAAATCCAATTCCTCATATCTGCTTGGTCTCTTTCTGGGTATAGTTTTTGGATATTCTCCAAGAAATGGACCTTACCTTCATCATTACACTAGTGTCAACAAGAGTCCTTACCTCCCCCAGTTTTCTTTCAAAGAGAAGATTGGGAAGAAGGCTATCAACAAATTATTAGCCATTCTGGACTGTCTCAAGTCAAACTGTCTAAATTAAATGACTCTGGCTTTATGTCCTCTCGCTTGGCAGAGTGAGATCAAAGCCAGATATCTCATCCTTGTTAGATGAGTAGGTCTCAGTGGTCAAGTAAACCCTCTAACCTGTGACTGGGAAGGGGAGGAAATTTGCAGTGTAGAAAACTCTGCAGCACCAACTAGAACACTGGAATTAAGTCTTTATTAAAAACAGACCCACAAGTGTATTGCCTTGTGGCAATACACATAGGCCTCCAAGAGAAGGTGGTGAGGTGATGTAACCATATTGTCTTGACATGACAAACTGATGTCTTCCAGGCCTTGAAGTGTTTTGCTACATTTGAATTGTACTTTGGCATTTTATTGGAGCTAAAAGAAGTGAGAAAACAGCCAAATATATATCAAATAAAGAATCAATCACGACACAGTATCATACATGTGGGGGATGTGTGTGACTCTCCAAAGCAAAAGTTGCCACAAATGGTACTACCAATTCTTTTGCACTCCTCTTTCTGCATTTATGATAGGACAACAGTATTCCCCAGATAGACAGTTTTATTACCTGGATAGATGCTGCTTGAGAGATTAATGGTTTGAAGGTAGTTATGGCAGCGTTCTTTATGTTCTTCCAAAGAGCTGCGCTGCTTGTAACTGCGACCACAGTATCCACACTTATGGGGTTTGCCAACTGGAGAAAACACAATTCATTATGAGACTCAGATGAGGCATTCAACAGCATATTAACAATCTTAAGGACAAGAGATAAAAAGCCCACCCCAAAATTAAAGCCATGCTGTGGTGAAGGAAGATTTTGTCAATTTAAAAGTCTAAGTGAAAAATAACTAATGGAAAACTGATTGTAAATCTTTAAATAACAGGCCAATTCTATGGGTGCTGCAAACTGATTTTAGGTGATTCAGATCAGATAAAGACTGTGACATTAAATCTTTAAAAACAGCATCTACACAGGTTAGGAACTGAGACACCTTCAAAGGGCTGGGAACAATTTCTGCAGTGTCCAGTTGCACAGAGACTGAGAGTGGATGAACTGGTGGTGTAGGTAGGGACTTGCTTGGCTGGATGTCAGTTCCGGTGTCAACAGAACCAACTCAATTCTTTTAAGACAATCTTAGATTTTGTGTGTTTTCTGCTTCTGGAAATTCAAGATAAATGGCATGTCAATTTATTTTCTCTATTACACCATCCAGCTTTAGCTAGTTCTAGGAAATTTTCACCAACAATACTTTTCTGTGTACTTCTGGACTTGAATTTTTTGTCTTAATATGGTAAGACTGTCCTCTATATGTGATTTCACAATTTTAGATAGTTACACCATTTAATATATGAGTTTTATTTACAGATTCTTAGGTGAAAATCAGTTTCAGACATCCAACTTGATTTATAATGTATTGGTCTCATTTTGCCAATTGCAGGAATTAATAATTATCTATAATTTAGGCATTGTCTCTTTAACTGTGGAATCCTCTGGGTTTATCAAGAGTGTCTAGGGGAGATTTCATATATATATATATATATACATGAAAACTATATTTCAAAATGTGCATCCATGAAAATCAATAAAAATAAGAGAGAGAGAGAGAGAAAAAAAAAGCTATTTAAAATATGTGCCTTCCTCAATCAGGCTGGGAAAAACCAGACAAACAGAAATTATTTTGGAAATCTGGGATCAACTCTAAGGATATTATCATTCAATACATGTGCTAGAGAAGAATTTTCCTGATTTTTTTGGAGCACAAAAATATCATTTTGAGAGCTCCCCTTCTGCCACCCAGAACCCAAAACCAACTTTTACAAGTTATGTTACCAGTGTCAATTCCAGCAATGTGTATTGGAGATCTCCCATCCAAATAGCAATTTGCATTTGCAGTTTAGCTTGGGAAACTAGATGAGATGGCACTCTGCTTTTAAAGGCACTTTAAATGTGCTAAATTGGTTTTACTTCACGGAAGGGTATGTGACTGTACTTCTGTCAAACAATGAGAGGTTCATGGTAATGGGAAAGTGCAGCTATTTAAAAATATTTATTCACATCTTCATATTACTGTTGAGACAGGCACTGAAAAACTCCATGAGCATCCTCTTTTGTGAAAGATTATTATCTTTCTTTCTCCCAGAATCTGCCATGACCCCACTCTCTCTTTCAAAGTACTTGTAATAACAATGTGCAACAAATAACTCCTGCTAAATGCTGTAGGCAGTATTCACTCCTCAGCCTGAAGAAGAATACAAGATTGCTTTTCAACTTTATATTATCTCTAACCCTAAAACATTCATCAACTCAAGTCATGTTTGTACTTCCATGAAATGGATTACTCACACGGGGCTCGTAAGATGAAACTCTAATACAGAAACTTTGAATCAGCCAAGAAGTATGGGAAAAAACTCAGTTCTTCTGGTGAAGGGTCATGAGTGTGACATGTGTTTAGTCATTTCTTTGCTGCTAACACACTGTGACCAGCTCACAGCTTGGTTAATCCCAAGATGGGGCTACTCAGGGTGAGAAGAGCTCTCAGGATTGGTGGCCACCCCCATCTCCTTGGTGATAAGCAGCCCTGGTTATTCCCAAACCTTCACTTACCTGAGTGAGTCCTCAGGTGTCCTGTGAGAGCATCCCTGCGGCGGCAAGCGTAGTTACACAGGTGACACTTGAAGGGCTTTTCACCTGAGTGCAGCTTAATGTGGCGCAGGAGGTTACCCTTCTGGGTAAAGGAGGCTCCACACTGATTGCACTGGAAAGGCCGTTCTCCTAGGGAAAGAAGGAGAAAATATGTGAGAACAAAAAAATCTTATGCAGTAACAAGAGAAAAGATTTCAGGGAGAAAGTTGTTTTCTCACTGCTGCTCTGTGACTTCCACCGGCTGCAGGTTTGATATAACATGAGGCTTTCAGACTAAACCTGCCAGTTTCTTAATGCTTCACTGGCTGGGTCAATTTGATCTGAAAATCTAATTTTTTTTTCCTAAATCAGAATGGCACATCACAATGCAAATTCAAACTCATTTAAATAAAGTGACTGCAACATTTTGTGTTGAAGAGCCACTCTTCCTGATCAGCAGTTTTGGAATAAACCAATATCCAATTTTGCATGTTGTGGCATTTGGTGGGGTTTTTAATGTGGCTTTTTTCAAAGGGTCTTTAAAATATGCCACTGAAGCAGCAAAATAAAAAGGAAACTCATTAAAAATGCATTTCAGGATCACAAGTTCATTTCAGCGTTACATTCTTATATTTAAATGAAAGGCACTTCATTATAACAGTTATAATAACTTCTTTTCATTTACATTTTCCCTGTATTTTCCCTTTCAATTTCTTCTCCATTACCTGTCTGTCCCTAAGCAGCCAAATCAGGAAAGAGACAGAGAAAAGAGAGAAAGCTAGAAAGTAAAATCACAGAAGTTAAGACAGTGCAAAGGAAGCCCTGTACTTCCATGCCTAAGTCCCAGCTCTTCTATTGGTAAGGTATGAACAGAGGAGCTGCACAAACAGGCTCTGATGGTTTACACTTTGGACAGAAAAAGTTGAAGAGACACAGCCTTGATTTGTCTAAACTGGTGTTTGTTACCAAGGAAGTGAATCAAAGCCTTTGCAAAAATTAATATGGCTGTTGTTTGCTTTTTAGTGTTGTTTAAAATAAATGTATTTTATTAATTTGGAGTTTTCTGGTTTTTTCTTTTATTTTTTTTTAAATTTAAGATGGATGAGGCCTTTTCTGAAACCAATGGGAAATAAAATATGTTTCCAGTTGTACCAGAGAAGAATAACAGAAAAATTATACGTAAGAGCATTCTATCAGCAAGAACTGCTTCTGCATGCCTGTTTCTTTACAGCCCTCAACTCAGTCAAACCAGCCTGTAAAAAACATTTGCTGAGTTTTGTTTCTCTTAGGCATCAGTTCAATCTGTTGTAGTAATTATACTGCATCAACATTAGAAACAGTCCAAAGATGACCTGTTCTTAGCTATAATTTTTTGTGCAACAATAATATTATATTTAAGATTTCAGTGCTGAGGTTAAAATACTAAAAGAAAGAAAACAAAACCAATTTCTTCCTTCTCTCTCAAACATCATGTATCATTTTGCATCCTAGGATACATGTGCATATATGTACAGCATGATCATTTTTGACTTCTGGGTAATGCACCAGAACAGCTGAAGATCAATCAGACAGCAGCACTGTCCCAACCCAAAGACATGAAAACTGCCATCAGGGCTGGCAGCTTTAGCATTCAGCAAACAGCCAAATGAATCCCGGCTGTGGCAGGACATTTTCATTGGTCAGTTTCAAGCACAGCAGCATAGTGCCTGTCAAGTCAAATGAGCTCACTTTCTTTGCCCATCAAGAGACTGTTCATCTAAACTATACCCACACCTGGTTCAGCTGGGCTGGCATGCAAAAATGCCAGCACAAGCCTTACAGGACTTTGAAAAGTACTTCATAAGCCATGCATGGTATGATTAGGGAGAAAAGAGGTGTCTCTCTACTTAACTCCTTAATCTTTGGGGCAGTTACTCAGTGCAGAAAGTGTTTTTCAGAAATGGACTGAAACAGTAAATGGAAGAAGTCAGCTCATCAAGGGGGACACATTCAGAAGAAATAGTTAATTCTTAATAAGCAGCTTTCCTAGCATTCATTTCTGTTATTTTTACTCAGAGGACCGTAAGAACACAAAACAAGAATCATAAAAGTACTCCAGGAATTAAATGTAAAGCAAAGTAAGAATGCAATGTATCTCTAGCCTCCCAGTCACATGGTGAAGATTTTCACTAGGTAGAAAAGATGGATGAAGCATTTCAAATTAGACTACTGCACACCAAATACTTCTACAGAACTTAGAGTGGGATCAGATGTAAGGAAGTCTGAATTTATGTTGCTGTAGAAGGAGAACAACATTGTCACCAAAAGATCCTGAAGCTACATATAGCTTGGCTGGCCCTTAGCTGTCCATGATGCAACTACTGGGGTGTAGAATGCCTCCTTTATTGAGCTCAGCAAAACTCCCAGACCTGCCAGGATGCTGACAGCCACTGATGGAAGGTTACTGGATGTGGTGGCACCTCCAAAAATGAGGATGGAACAGGATGGAAATAAAAAATACATAATGACTCTTTTTATAAATAGTCTAAACAGTGTATTATTTTCTCCAGGTCTGAACAGTACATACCTGTCCTGGGCATCTAGCCATGACCAAATATAAGCCCAGGAACAAAAACTGCAATGGGACCCTGAATTCAATCAACTATTGTCATCACTGCAGTGATTTGCAAGCCTTAGTAGGAGCTTGGGCCTTGGACCACTTATTGAGTGAAGAATACTTATAATCTTAAGTAAAATATTTCTAATTTCTTAAACAATGACAAGATCACCTAACACTCAGAGACCTCTGACATGCAGAGCTCTCTTTCTAAATAAATTTGAAACATTCAGAACCAAGTAACAAGATACAAGATGTGAGTTATTAACTGGTGTCTAAATTTAGTGTACATATAAGGAGGCAATATATACATCTATGCACACACATACACAGATATGCATGTATATGCAGATAAATGCACAGTGAGCAAGAGATCCCTGAATATACCCTGAGGTTTCAGCATCAGGGAGCAGGAATTTCTTTCTCCTTTGAAGATCTCCTTTATCTTAAACACCAAACAAGACAATGACATGCTGGAGAAAATGAATGTGCTGAAAGGGAAGGAGAGTGAGAAGAGTTGGGCATCTGTGAGCTGGGATTTGCTCTGCAGATATAAGCAACAAGTAAGGTGCTAGGAAGCAGTCAGTGCTGTACAGCTGCCTGCAGATAAGAGAGGGCAGAAATGTCAGGTGCTGCTCCACATATCTGCACTTGGCAGGTGTGTTCATTAAAAACAATTATGTCTTTTATCAGGTCAGGCAGTCATTTTATTTTGGCACTTTAGTGTGCTAGAGTTTTGTTCACTTATCAAATATTTATTTAAGAAAACCTCACTGCATATGCAGGTTTTACATGAATTAGCAACAAAGTAATTCATTTGTGAGGCTTATTCCTTCACCAGGCATGTATTGAAATGGGCTTCAGCATAGTCAGTTAAATGTCTGCAATAGTATATCCCATTTCGACTTTAATTTTCACAGCACAGATGAAAGGAAAAGCAGTCACCACTGTTTCCCCATGACACCCGTTTAATTTAAACTACCAGCTCTTAACTTCCACTCCTTTGCCAGCCCCTGAAAAACCATCTGAGCTCATTCAAAGAGGCTACTCAGGAGAGGAGCTGAGGATGAGGCAGGAGGGAAAGCAAAGGTGTTCTTTCCATGGAAAGACCCAGGGACAAAACTTCACACCCTTTAGTTTTATTGAGTGTAAAAGAAGAGGGTTGTCCTGAGCAAAGTGCCTCTTGTGGGGTGCTTCCATTGTAGGCTTTAACTATATTCCCTTATTAAAAAGAGGGTCTAGCTGGCAAGGTAAGAGCTCTGCAAAGAGTGAAGAAATCTTCAAGTGACAATCTTTGTGTGGTAGCACCCCAAGCACCCTTGGCAGGCAAAGGGTCCTTCTGCCAGGCAAGAAGTTTGGGGAGCTGAAGGTCTGTGTGGGGGAAATGACCAATGAGGAGGCCCCTGGGGATACTGTCACAGGGACCAGGCAGTCCAGCTCATGCTCAGAGACAGCGGGCTGGGTACCAAGGAGCTCATGAGAAACAAAGGCAGCTGTGCCTACCACCTCCCTAAAGCCAGGTGTGTTCTCACACAGGCCATTTAGCCCTGGTGCAAACACTGCCATGGACCCTTAGGGACCTGAGGACCTGAAACAGCTCCTCTGATCCAGCAACAGTGGTTTTGGTGTTTTTTGTTGGATTTTTTTTTGTTTGTTTGTTTTTTGTTTTGTTTTGTTTTAAGAAAAGAGCAGTCTGCTTTAACAAGCACAAAAACTTCTACCTCTAAGTGCATTTCAACTTGCAACATATTATTTCAACCACTACAGCTTCCTCTTTAGCCTATGGGTCTGTTTGAAAGGCCTCATGTACAATTTATTTTACATGCTCATTTTATCAATTTTTAAAGGACCATATAGAAAAGGAAAAGGAAAAGGAAAAGGAAAAGGAAAAGGAAAAGGAAAAGGAAAAGGAAAAGGAAAAGGAAAAAAAGAAAATAAAAGGACTTTGTTAGATCTAGGAAGTAGGCTACAGCCTCTCTTCTGAGTACTAGTTGTGGCTTTTCCAATAATTATCTGCTCTTCCCTGACAGAGGGATTTATCACAGAGAATTGAAGAGTACTTTGAAGCAGGCAATGTAACAGCGTTGCTTCTGAGCGTGGCTAACCCATGTTACACTAACAGATTGCATGCTTCTAATAGCATGAACAGACACAGTTACTGTGACAGACAGTAACACTGAGGGCAATGGAACACACTGCAGGGATTTTCAGGAATCCTGTCCATTTTAACTCTGAAAGAACTTTGTTAATCTTGCTACTTAGTAATTCTGGGAAAATTATTTAAGCAAGACTATGAGGATATGGAGGAAGAAAATATCTATGTTTTTATTGCCACAACCATTTCAGTCAAATGTAACTATAAGATAGATCAAATCTTACCTTAAAAATATTTTAAAATTCCCTCTCAGTGGAATATTCATGTAAAAATGCCAAATCCCAATTTTATTTTCAAAGCAACTTCTGTGAAATAACAGTACAGTTCAGTTCGTCTCTTTCAGCTATGAATGACATTAAAGATTAGACTGGAAGCCTAATTTTTAGACATCTTAAATCAGGCAACGTGAGACTCACTCCTTACTTTTAAATTTGTTTCAGCCTCTTCATTTTTGGCCCTCTTTAAGACTAATAAGAATTCAAAAATTGAGAAAAGAATATTCACAGCACTGTATAATGAAAAGCCGTCCCTATAGAACACAAAATCTTTACATGTCTCTTTTAGCATCCCAGTGGAAACACTTTAGTGCACATTTGACTTGTGACAATACTTGTTTTTACTTCATGAAACACCAGACATGAAATGTAAGTATTTTTTGACTAAGTCTGTCAATACAGTTCTCTTATACATATTTTTCCAATCACTTTCGTAATTACTGACCCATAATAAGCTTTGCTGTTTTGTTGGAAACATTACAACTGCATTAATTTCAGAGTTAGCTACAAATGAGTTTTTCTTCAGCAGTTCTTAGAAATTAAACAAGACTTCTCTGCTTCTTTTTTAAGTTTGATATTTCAATTTTTTGGTAGGCTTGTTTGTTTGTTTGTTTGTTTGTTTGTTTTGTTTCAAATAAAAAAATAAAAAAAAAAAACCCAAAATTTTTAGCCCAATAGATGGACTTCCATGAAGAAGTGTCAATTCCTGTGCAGGCCAAAAGGATGTACCGCAATGAGTTCCAAAGGCTCACCAATGCTGCATTACCTTAGAAGAGGCAACATATGCATAATACAGAATATAAGTCTTAGTTACTAATATGTGGCCAGTACTTGTCAACTAGAGGAAAAACTATGGCAGGCCTTACCAGTGTGGCTTCGTTTGTGAACCATGAGCACATTGGGACCGATGCAAATGATCCCACAGATATCACATTTTAGCTTTCCGTTAGGAAGTCGAATGCCTCCAACTCCTGACAAAGCCTTGCTGCCTGGGCCATTGTGTGAGCCATTCATTTTCTCTCCTGTGGCATCAAGCATTCGTAAATCCTCTGCACATTCTTCCCCATTCATTTCACAGGCACGCCCATTCTCTTCATCACTCTGAGTCTCTATTTTAATATTACCAGCTGAAAGAAACAATACAGGATGCCACTCAGTTTGGTTACAGAGCAAATAATGTGGCAAAGCAACAATCACATGAAAGGAGTTAACTTCTAAACAGCAGGTACATTACCACTAAATAATAAATGCTGTGAGCTTGACTATAATTCTATGGGCAATGTGATGAGTTTGTAACACGTGGAACAATGAACAGTGAATATCAGTTAAACAAATAGAAGGCATCCAGGGAGCTAGGAACCAAAAGATATTACAAGTCTGTTTGTAGGTTGCCTTGAGATTTTTGCATTTATAGCTTTCATTCTGATAATCAGGCTAATTGGAATGAACATTAAAATTAATCTACTTCATAGGGATTTGTCCAGAACAATTGTGAAAATAAGTAACTCAACTCAATGGACACAAAAGAACGGAAAATGCAACATTCTCCACTTGGCAGGAAGATTCCAAGGGTTGTACTGAGTCCAAATTTTTGGCTTTTAGTTCTATAGAGTAAGCAACAACAATGGGAAAGCAGAGTACAAACACTGATAAAGAAAGCAGGATAGGGAAGGATGGAAGAAAGAATTTAAGGAAATTATAGGGGTGATAGTTGTGTTTCTAAGACAGCAGATTAGGATTGCTGAGTAATTGGAGACTATTGCTAGAATCAGAAGTTATGATTAAAAAACAGTCAAACTGGGAAAACTGTTGGGCTGGGAAAACTATTATTACTTTATTGGATAAATCCTTTACATTGTAATCCCATAGGTGACAATTGCTTGCAGCCAGAATAAGAATTTAGGTAAATTTGTGATCGCCACACCAGATGTGATAACATAGAGGCTCATAAATTTGATGTGATATGAACACAGCAAACTTCAGCATTAAGTAAAAGGGCTAAGATTCAGACAACTTCATGCCAGTATTCATTCCTCTTCTCTCCACAGGATTGTATGATGCTTTTTGTAGAAAAAAAAAATTTTGCTGTTATTTCCCTTGTTTCTAATCTGGTGATTTTGGTGAAAAAATACTTCATTAGGCTGAAAAATATCATTTCATTGCCCAAAATCTTACTTTCCATACAGTAAAAACCCCTCTACCTTCATCCCACCCTACCCCCAAAAAACAAAACAAAACAAAAAAAAAGTTTACTTCCATAGGTAGCTAAGAATATGAGGAATCTGTTTCACCCAATAAAGTTGTGGAGCAACAGTTTTATGGCAACCTCATTCAAAGTGATGGTGTAGCAATGTGATAACAAAAAGCTACAGGCAATAATTACCTTGAGATTGAAAGACCTTGATACTCCTTTGAAATGGAGACGATAGACAAGCTCTTCTCTGATACATCCTGCAACCCCACAGGTGTTCCAGAAGGACTGCACGGATGTAACTGACAAGAGTATCTGACTCAAAATCCTACTGGGAAACAGAAGCCTAAAGGTGTTCACATTTATGAATATTGCTTGACTGGACACCTTTTAAAAAGTCTACCAATCTAGGTATTTTACTGTTCTTTCAAGTGTTGCATTTTAATAGAAATCATATGAAAAACAGAATAAGTGCATATCATAAATAGCAGTTTTCCTTTAAAATGTATGTTCTAAAAAGGAGAATAATTTAGTGATATACCAAAAAAATCAGTGACCAAACAATGACTTAAAAAGATGGTATGACTGGTTAAACAGAACTGATTCTGCAAATTTAATGGGCTACAACCTCATACTATTGTTTTCACCATGGCAAATAGAAGCAATATTAATATTTGGCTTGAGTATGTAGCAGAATTTCCCACAATTTACATATAATTTTTTTTTCCTTTCACCTCTAAGAATAATAAATATATATTTTTACTAAAAATTATAGACTCTTTGCCTGCCAGGGATTTGAAGAAGGTGGCTTTTGAAGCAGATTTTCTGTTGAGTTAAAACAAAATATGCATCAACAAAACAAAAACATCAAGCTACTTAAGTGCATGCAGACAAACATACATTACTCAGAAATGAAATGGCACAAACGAAAAATCATAAAAGTAGGAACTAGATGGAAATGCTCTGTAGTGAACTGAGTTTCAGTATACTTACTGGAAAAAGATTTGGGAATTATTGCATGAAAGTCCCTAAAGCCTTCCGCCTCGTATGCAGCTGCAATAAAGAAGGCAAACAGGATGCTGGTTTGTCGTACTGCTAGCAGTAAATGTAAAAGAAGATGGCACTATTGCTATAAGACAAATACCAAGGAGAAAGACAAAACTTATCATCACAGAAGCAACATAAGCATTTTAGGATGAAGGAGGAACAGGAGAAGGACAGCTGGCAGGGGAATCCTGACTTGTCTAGAACAATTCCCATTTGTGAAAATGCCCTTTTCTTCCAAAGCAGCCAACATGTTTTATCATGTTTTCTAGAAGTATAATGTGCTCTTGGGTATTCCCCTTGCTTGTGCAGTAATTCCTGCTGAAGTCAGGAGGAACTCTTGCTAACTCTTGTCTCAAAAGGGTCAATGCAGGCCCTGACAGTTCAGCTTCCTCAGAAATTATTTTTTGCCAATATGCCCTTTTTCTGTGACATAAATCTCTTGCATATTCTTGTTCCTAGTCTCTGCAGTTATTAAAAGTGAAATTGTGTTGTTTTATTCTTACACCTGCTGGTCTTATGCAATGGAAGAAGAGAGAGTTCAGGTTTACATATATAGGTATTTTTTGTTGTGTATATTGGCATGTTTTTGGTTTGTATTTCTAAGGCTTCTCCTCACAATGTATTTACAAAGAACAGTTGTACAAATATATTATCTCCTGCATATTATGAGTAGCCACATACAAATTACCATGCCATTGGGCATGCTGATACAGGTAATGCTGGAGTTCATTATTTGACATAAGCAATGACAGGGATATTGATCAAGCCAATATTCCCTAAAGCTCTCCACAGCTATGTCCTGGACTGCTGCAGCTGTACTGCTCAATGAATATCCCCGTGCAGGCTAGGCTGACTGCCCAGGATGTGCATCCTTTTGGCAGTGCAGCTCATGGCAGGGCTTCAGTTCATATGCAGGGTTCACTTTGCCAATGTGAGCTGGTGGACACTGAGGGCACCTGACTCAACCTGGGTCCTCACAGAAATTTTATAGGTCTAATTAACAAAAAAAACCTCACCCTGTTCAAACTTAGTACTTCTTGCAAATCTGTCTGCAATACGAGAACTAGTGAAAAGAGCCCCACTGATGCAGGAGACATGACAGGAGGGAGATATCACTCCAGCAGAAAAGCTAAGGACTTTTATGAAATCTGAATAATAGGGAATGCAGGGTATACTTTCCTTTTTTTTTTTTTCAATCTGCACTTATACTGGAAATAAAAACCATCAGTGTTTTCTACTTTTGTGAGAGTAATTATTGCCCCTCCCTTGATATAGTGGAGAAATCATTTATGGAGCAACAACAATGTGAAAAATACTTGTAAACTGTATTTTTCATGTGGACTAATTATGAATGTACTCAGACTTTTTATGGCTTTCTGAAAGTGTTACCCAATACAGTTTTCTGTAGAAAATAACTTCTGTGCACATCCATAGCTATGAACACACATATGCATTCATTAACTAGCATTAAAATAACTCATGGTAACAATTTCTCATTGGCTCTTCTAACACTATTAATGGTGTATCATTAATTAATTTACTTCTATTTGATTGGAGAGGATCTTAAAAAGCTCTGTGTTTAATTCCCTTTATACACATTATCACCATTCAGGGGTGTTTAATACAGACACTTTTTTCTCCAGAAGTGGTGTGTAGTTCTTTAATGTCACTGAACTGATAGTTTTCCCCCACTCCTTTTTTACCTATCCAGAGTGTGTAAAAATTACCCAAAAGCAGGGCACTGGCTGGGTCCCTTGTGGTCTCTTATGTTTCCTGGAAATTTCACTTGGGATTTCTGAAGAGCATTTGAAATTAGTGTTGAAGCATTTGTTCAGTATCCTATGGTTAAAGGTGATTTACACAAGTCTTAGGAAAAAAAAAAAAAAAAAGATATGTCCAAGGGGAGAGAGGTGATGATATAATTTATCACTGAAGAGCAGCATTCCTGGCTCCATGTCAGACTTGGGCTGGGGCAGTCATGAAAGCAGGATGGTATGAGAGCAGACAGCATCCTGCTTCCCTGGAAAGAGCTGAGCAACATGGAGAGGGAAGGGAGGCATTTTGCAATGAGTGAGTTGATAGTAAGCAGAAAGGAGAAACCAAACAGACCTCCTGGGAAACTGGATGTAGAGGGTGGCTTTCGCAGGACAGAGAAATAGGCAGCTGGAAAAAAGATGCATGGGAACAATTAGTAATTTGTTTACAATTTACTGCCAATTTACCTTATTTTTTAGCTATGAGAGTCTCTCCCAGCTGTAAAATGCTTTCAGTTTTGTGAAACTTTGGCAATAGCACAGGTCTAAGTACCTGGGCCATAATTCCATTTGGAAGGGGACATTCACCTCCCAAGTCATAGTTTTCTCCAGTGGGATTTTTAAAGAAATAAAAAAGCATAAGATCTGGCTACCAAAGGTATTTAAAGAGCAGCAGACAAAGACAAGTCATACTGAAGCTTCTGAGGCATTTAAACAATACAGTTCTTTTATTTTTAATGGGATTTGACCTTTTACCCCAGTAAGTACTAAATTGTATCTTGTGGCATATACCTGCCTTTAAGAACTTATCCTTTAGATTTTGAAAATAATCCTGATAGTTTGGTTTTTTGTCATGAAATATCTTGTTTGCACTTTGTAGCCAAGAGCAGCGAGAGATTTCTTTTCAAGTGTCTGCAAATAGTTTGGGTGCCTGTAATTTTTTGTTTTCATGGTTCACTTTTTATTCCAAGACAAGTCAGAAGTATTTTGTTGATATTAGTTGATGCTTACATGGTAGCTTTAAAATCCAAGAGTTCTCATGAAGACACCATAACTATTCAACCAGCAATCTTACCTGACTGATTTGAACCTCATCACTGTAACAGTGAGGAAAAAAAAAAAAACTTTAGATGATAGAAAATGTTGCTAAAAAGGCAGAATAAGGTGAAGAAACCCCAGTTATCAGGCCAAAATAAATCACCTCTGCATGCCAACCTGTGTCAATAAATGCAGACAGGATCTCTTCTTGTTTACATAAGTACTCAGAAAATAATATTGTCAGCAATCCCACCTGTTTCTGATAAAACACAAAATGGCTATTCTGTTCTTTAACAGCATATGAAAATTTTAGCACTTGGTTTTGTGCACTGAAATCCTTCCCCCTTTCCTTTTTATATCATGGTCATTTACTGTGGTATCAGCTCTGTTGTCACCCTACAAGAGCACTGCAGGTGGAAGATGCCATTCTCAGAAATAAAAGTTATCTTTTTACAGAATATTTAAGGAGTCATTATTCACCATCTAGACTTGACAACAAACAACGATGACCAATTCTTTAACTTAGATTATGTTTCCATTAATAGTATCTTTCCCTTATGAGCTCTGAAGCAACAAGAAGAATTGTGTGGATATGAAAAATGACAACGAAAGGTCTGGGCAGAGGAACCATAATGCAATGCCTTGAGCTCTTCTTCAGTATATTTCAGATGACACAACAGAACAGAGATAAGACTGATCAAACTGTTTATTTAGCTACAGAAAAAGCAGATGCACTCAAGTGCTCTTAAAAACTACTCTTCTGCTCCCTCCTTTCTACATATTGCACTGCATTGGCAGTGCTAATCAAGTGTTTGTGGTGTGTCTCTGTGTAAAATGCTGAAAGTTAGAGGGCATTTTCAAAGGGAAACAAAAATAACAGAAGGAAGAGCAGTAGCAGGAACTGCTGGGACACACCTGCAGGTAGAGAGGCTGGTGCTGATGGATAAGGAGATCCTCACTGCAGGGTCCATGCTGCTTCCTTTGACTCCAAGTGCCAATCAGCCCTTGGCAGACAATTTCTTCCCTACTCTAATTCTGGCTTTCAATCAAATGGATATTATTCCAGAAACACAGGCGTCCACAGATAAGCTATCTCCCATGGGACAACTGGTGAGAGGAGCTCCACCCATGACATCACCCATGACTGCTACTTCTCTCTGCTGCTGTCTGGGGGAGGTGCCCACCCCATGAACCAGCACCAGTGCCTGTCAACATGCACAGCCTTTCCTCAGCAAAAGGAGCAGGGAACTGTGCTTCACTGCAAGTCACATCAACATGTTTTTCTAGGGCTGCAATGAAATCAAACTGTACAGAATCAAGCAAGTGAACAAGACAACCAACAAAGTACATCCTCTCTAGGTACAAAAAGTGACTTTTGCTCCACTGTGCATTCTCGCAGTAGCATCCTGTTAGTTACTTACAAATTTTCTAAAGGACCAGTAAAGATGCATTGGTAAAAAGTAGATTCAATAAATACCCTCAAATATACACTTGAAGATACATGCCTTTTATATATCTTTCTAAGTTTGTGTTTCAGTAGGAAATGATCTGTAACCAAACCAAGGGGCTGGTCTAGTTCATATTTCTTGTCTTTGTTGTGACACTTCCTGGTACAATTTGTACTGGATTCAAGTTGTTTTTCCAAAGGACAGTTAACTACCTAGCTGCTTGATGTTCATCATCTGAACTACAAGTGAAACTGAATTTTAAAGGCAAGAGAAAGAGCACTGTCAGGAAATGCTATACCAAACCTGTTTCTCAAGTTCTACATGTATGTGTGATCCATGCTTCCTACATTGGAAATTCTCTGCATCTTTTACTGGCTGCATGATGGAGAAGCTAAGGGAACTGCTGGAGGTTTGCTGGTAACAGACTTTATTGACACTTCTCTGCTTTGAGAAGTAAGCTGGGAACACTTTCAAACTCGAGAGAAAGATTTGCTGACAAATGATAGTAAGAACAGCATTTTTCCTCCTCAAATTTTTTGTCTCTTCTCCTTTCACCAGATTTTTTTAAATATGGGCATTAAAGGATGAGTGAGTAGTAAAAGGGCTCTTAGCAGGAAATTTTTAAAAAGCAAAGTAACCTTAAGTAACAACGCACAACAGTGAGGTAAAAACACTACCATACTTAAAAACATTCTCAGCTCACCTGTGTTCATGAACACACATGTTTATGTGCTGAGACTGGAATCTCCAAAACTGCATTCTCCAAAAAGACTGCAGACATAATCATTGTGGCTTATGCTCTTCCCCACACAGCAACAGTTATCCAAGAAAAGCACAGCCTCAGATATATGATATCCTAACATTTATAAGGCACTTCCCTTCTCTAATCCTTCCACAAAGCATGCTTTAGTGAAAGTCACGGGTGTTAACCCATCCTCAGCTAATGCAACAAAACTCTAGCTAAAGGCAGTCACATGTCGCAGCTGGGAGAACATGAAAGGACGATGCACCTGCAAAGATTAGTGGAGAAGACAAATGACTATATTGAGATACAACAGGCAGACCAGAAGCTCCACAAGACGGAAGAGATAGCCAGGATCATCCATGAAGCCATGCTGTCAATGGCTAGAAGTTGTCCTTATCTGGAATTACTGTGGGCATCCCTTAACAAGGTAAAGGGCTTAAAAAGTGCAGCAATACAATTAAAACCAGACAAGGTGATCAATAACATATAAATAATGTGAACTGTAGTTAGAGGCAAGTTTTAAACTTGCTCGACCAAGAGAAAAGTATGTGAAATCTGAACACGCACAGTGGGTATTGATCACGTACCAGATGAAGGCAACAGTCACTGACCTGAAGAACAAAACTATCACTTGGGAGCAATGAAGTGCCTTGGTTCTGTGGTTTAGGGAAAGGCAGGGAGATGAACTATTTTGTATATTCCTTTAGAGAACCTAAATTTGCCTTGCCCTGAATGCAAAGTCAGCCTTTCTTTGCAAACCCTCCCCTTTTCATGTACCAGCTCAGTGAGCTGCTTGCATATCCTTATTTTTGTGCCTGGAGTGGCACAGAGCTACCCTTTCTCAGGGTCAGGCCCTTGCAAGTCCATCTATATTAACAAGTTCATGCATGTTAACAATGTGCTGTGCCTTCACTACCAGTGAACAGACACAGGGACTTTTCCAGGGAACATTCAGCTACCATGATGATGCCTTGAGCAACATTTTACACCAATGTACATAGTTCCCCATAGCTGTCAAAGGGTCAGTAGATCTAAATTTAGACCAAGCAGCTGTGTTTAGGTTTGGGGAGGTGCCTTTGGGTGTCATGCCAAAGCTGTGCACTATCAATGCCCTCTTTTGAGAAGAGGTCAGAGGATGAAGTGGAGAGGAACCCAGATATTTCAGCACTTGGGAGGGAATACATGATGAAAATTTTATTATCTTGCCTACTTTAAAAACAAATTGCTGAGCAGAGTCTTCTGTGGCCCCCTCATATGACACAATGGAAAAAAACCCAGGGATATTGAAAGCTTATTTTAGACTAAAGCAAATAAAATACAGTCATCACTTTATGAGTGATAAAGAAGATATTCTCTCCGAGGACTGTGTGAAGAAGTTGATGCTGAATTACAAAGCCTTAGGTCTGAATTACAAAGGTTTAGGTCTTTTAACCCTGAGAGCTCAGTTATTTTTCCAGATGCTATTGAAGATTCTTCTTTTTGAGTTTTAGAAATATTATGAGAAAATTTTTCAATCCAAACTGCTATTTACTTGATTAGAATGTACTTAACATTCCAGAAAAAGGAAATCCTAATCTATATCTTCTGCGGAAGAGGCAAATTTTTTTCTACAGAAACCCCAAAGAAATTCTCTGAATATGGACATACCTGATAGCTCCTGAGGGGAAAAATGTAGGACAATATCAATTTTTTCCCACTGTGTATCAAAGACAATGCTTTGCTACAGGGACCTTATTCCCTCTCTAGCAATCAGTCCTTTATATTGAAATGGCAAGAAACCGCAAATGATGCTGGCAAACTCACAAGCACTCAGAGATCAGGCTTATTCTGAAAGTCTACAAAGTCAGTTTAGTACACATTTTTAAGAGTTCTTGTCTTTCCTCACTTCTATATAATTTTCCATGCTTACAGTTTTCTTGCTTCTACTTAAGGAGAAACAAGCACATCTTCCCTTTCTTGAACAGAATCCATCCTTAACCACACTGTTGCTATGATAAATCATCCCTGGCATTGGATGTCTCTTCTGTGAGGCATACAACAATTGCAAAGTCAAATACTGTGTTCTTAGGTCTCTGAGTGCAGTGTTAAGAGAAAAACCTAGATTCCACTAGCTCTCCACAAAAGATGAAAGAGATAATATTTTAAAAAGATGAGTTTCTCAGAAAGATGTGGAGAAAA